GAGGAAAGGGGAGGGGAAAACTGTTGCAGACGTTTAATGTGACTGACCACTGCTGCAAAAACCTGGCTACTGTCGCTAGACATTGAAGGGCCTATCGTGCAGCACACAGAAGACTCAATGTTGTTTGTGAGCATATACAATTAAGATGCACCTGATTAAGATATGGCTGATATAACCCTCATGGGGCATTAGATTGAAAATACATTTCTTGAGAATTGCTATTTGTGTTTATTCACCCGCACTTCCGCTGAGCGTGGTAGCCTGTGCACAGCTCACACACGCACAATAAAAGTCCCGTGAATTTTTAGCCAAACGGAACAACTTATGAACTACGAAATAAATTGCAAATAATAACGATTACACAAATGCTTGGTATAATGCTGAATACAACCGTCATCAAAACGTTACGGTTTCTCCGAGAAATTCCGCTTCCAACTGAAGAATCCTCTGCACGGACACTGGCGAAGCGAGTGAGCAAACGCGCGTTGCGCCAGCAAAACCGTACGGCAATCCGTGGCGGTGTGCAACTGTGAGCATGGTGGATGGAATGAATAATGGTAATGCTTACATAATGTACGCAGGGTGACGGGGCCAACACAAACCTGTGAATTCAATATCTTCCCCTTTCATTAACCTCTCCTCTATTTATAGTCCGCTGGTACTCTCTCCTCATGTTTTAGTTATTGGCTTCCACACCCATCAAAACCAAAAGCTTAACAAATGCATTATGCATTTTTATTGCATTTATTTATTTTTTAAACAAAAAAATCCATGCCCTTGTTGCCACACTGTTTATATTTCATTTCGATTCAAACGGTAACCTGAAAGCTGAAATGGGTTTTTCGTCATCGACCATGTTTTGTCTACTGCTGGATATAGGCCTCACACCTCATCAACAATCCCCAAAGGTCCTACGACGAAATAACCCATCTCACTCTCCTGTGAGCTGACATCATCCTTCCATGCCTGTAGCTGTCATCCTCCTTGGACTTCCATTCCATCATCATCAACCGTCATTCCCTTCTAACCGCAGCACACTTTACTTTTCTCAACAGTGAACAAGACGTCTCTAATCTGTGTTCAATCTCCGCAATGTTCCTCTGGCTGTCTCTTAAGTGTTCATTCCCAGCATGCATCTCTCCATGCTTCTACATGCATCTTACAGCTATTGGTTCCATGTTCCTTGTCAAGAGTCCGCGATTCCGATCCATGTCAAGGCGCATACTATGCAGCGATTCCAAACTTTATTATTTCGGCACAATGGTACGATAGTTTTCATCATCAAATTAAAAAAATCCAAAACCACTCCATCATTCTACGCACGCTCACCTCTTAATTTCATCGTTTTGTTGCTGTTCCATCTGATATAATTTGCCTGATATGTTCACTCTCATTCTGCTGCTATGGTGTCCACAGCTATTCCATCTGTTTAAAGGGGGCATGACATCTGGAACATTCTAGCCGCCTGAAAAGAATCATTGTTTTCTGGGGTATCTAAAAAATAACACTAATCCCAATTGAAATATGCAGTAAACTCAAACGCTGTGTTGTGCAACTCTATCTTGCCCCATAAAGGTTAGGATTTGCAATTTTACCTATCATCATTTCTAGATTTAAAGCTTTCGTGACTGTTAAGATCCATACTCTTTGGTTCTATTGGGTAAAGTCACGTAGGTGAAAATAAAATAACAAAATTTTCACCTACGTGACTTTACCCAATAGAACCAAAGAGTATACCTATCATCATCTTCCTCTTTGCTTCTTTTACGCCCCTATTGTTGTTATGCCACGTTCAAACAGCCCATGTAATGGCTTGCAATGTTACGGCGCTAGATAAGTTGTCGTCATTATTATTATTACCGTGTTGTGTTCTATAATTTCTTCCCTCATCGTTATAGTTTCACGGGACGTGCAGTCCTATTTTTTTCCATTTTCATCCATTTTTCTACCAGGTAACTTGTCATCATTTTGTTTTGTTCCCCAATTTCATTGCACACCGGCCATTTATAATGTTATGAACTCATTTAAAGCAGTGACATCCACTTTACCTTTTTTATGTCATATGTAATGTTGTATGATTTTACTTTGTATGTACTGTAATGGAAAGATATTCCTCATACAGTCGAAGAGACCCTCATACAACACTGAAGAGGAAATGGCTGCTGCTGCTGATCAGAATAGGAATCTTTATTAAGGCTGCAGGAATTCGATGAGCTATGAAGCTCTTCTGAACAGATGTCCAGTAAGGGTAGGTCAGCAAGTTACAACAACAAACAACACAAAATCACGACAGGAGTGAAAAAAGGAGAAGGCTTAAGAGAGTCACTATGGTGCGAAAGAAGTTCAACATAAAAACGTCCAAAATAACGATGCAGAAATAGATAAAGAAAATACAAATTGTACAAATTACTAGCACAAATTGCACAAGTGCATACATTCCTGCATATTTTTCAACACTAAATGCAAGCTTGGGCAAGGCATAAGAACAACAACAACAATAGTACCAGAACACACCAAGACAATCCTTCAATAAAATGGCACATAAACATTAAACTATCGATACACGGGTGAAACTCGGCACATCTCAACAATTAAAATAAAGCTCTTCTTAAAGGAGGCAATCAATGTTCTATTTTTAAGCTCCGAGTTGCAGATAATGGAGAATAAATTAGGTGAAAAGGAGTAGTATGCTTCTGTAATGTACGATTGTTTTTATGCTAATTAAATCATAGTTAAATTTTCATTTAAAGCTTTCGTGACTGCAGGGATTCATATTCTTGGTTCTTTCGGTAAAGTCACGTTTCCCTTCTACGTGACTTTACCGAAAGAACCAAGAATATAAATCATAGTTATCGTTTAATCACGTAGCAGCAAGATGTGACTCGAGGTGCTCCGGATTTCCTTAAAGACTCTCTCATTTAAGCGAACATCTTACAATAAACACGGTTCCAGCAGCGGGCTATTGGTTACCACTAACGACCACAGTGTGTTTTGTTTTTGTGCCGTCCTTTCACAATATTGTCGTGACCGTCGCATTATGAGAATGAAAAGCCGGCAAAGAAATCGGATAAGCCTCGTCACCTTTACCCTTCTGGCGAGATACAGATCGCTCCGAGTGGATCGGCACTTCTTGAAAATAAAATAACGATGCAGGAAGGCCTGGGAGCAGCATTCTATCTTCCACGCATGCGAATGGATTTCCGTGATTTTGCTCTCCAGAAAACAATCCCAAGGTTTCTCTGGTTAATCTAAGCATCGAATGGATGATTGCGAATAAGCCAGCTTGCCACCGTAGCCAGCAAATGTCACCGTCCGAGAATTCTGGCCCTGCTATCAGCAGGGCCAGGTTTACCCTGCAATAGGCTGCAGGGTAAACCTATCTACAGAATTAAACGACCCTGTACAGTAAATAACGTTTACTACAAACCATACCAAACAAATAAAGAGAAGACCATTCATGAGTCATCTCAGAGGCATCGTTTACAAACCCACATAGGAATATGATAACTTGCAGTATCCGGTAGCGAAGCAAACAAGGCAATACTACGGCACATACATGTTGCTGCACCCTACACGGACTCAGGGTTTATTTTATATATGAAAGATTATTTTAATATCCAGTCCACCCTAACGTCCAGCAAAGGTGTTTACTGCAAACCTCTCTGCTTCCCCCAACTAGCTATCACAGAGCAAGTGTTGAAAGGCAAAAATTGCATTTTAGAATTCAGACTTTGAGGCAATGGATAAATAATTGTTGCCGTTATCAACATTTGTACATGTTCCACTTTATTTTTCAGGAGTATGCAATGTTGTGCAATTTTAAAATAACACAATATTTATCATCATAGTTAATAATGACAATGATTTGGGGGGAGGGCTATGGATTCAGCATTTTTGTTGTGCCCCTGTCATTACCCATCCCCACCCCCCACCCCAACCGGCGAAGCGAATGATTTACACATGGGAGCGAATACTCCAAGTTCCACCTCGAGAAATGCCGGTCTCAAGCGCATGCATGAATTGAGTAGATAAACAAGGGCTTATTTTGAAGTTCAGCCCTTTATGCCGAGGTGACTTAGAGCGCTTTAAACACGAAAAGTGACTTGCACCGCATCTCATCTTGACACATTTGGAAGGGTACCACCAGCAGTTCAGTTGTTCATGTGGGCCACAAGGTGACTCAGCACGTGGCTTTAAAACAGGTGTTATTTATTTGCTACATCTCCGTGGTAATACAATATTATCACAATTGCTGATATTGATAAAGACAAATACTCAAAACTACTTAATTTTCCATTAGTGATGTGCATGTATTTGTCAAAATAGAAAAGCAAAAAAACATTACACACCGTGTATAGTCTGGCGAGTGCCCAAAGGCCTACATTGCTGTGGACATGAATGCACAAAAGCAAAGTCATGCCTCTGGAGTATGAGATTGTGTGCGTGTGTGTGTGCGCATGGGGAGCAGCTATCGCAGTGGTGACCCAAACTACATTGTGAAACTGACCGACCTGGTTTCAATTCCCGGCCTCGGATAACATGAGCGGCACGTGGTATTAGAATCTCTCCGGCCTAAAAATGTGTACCTGTTTATTACATGAACATCAAAACTGGGGATACAAAGGAATCTGGGGTGGTGCCGATGCCAATGCCCCCAGTGTGCCATTGTGGTCTCAATCGGTGCATGTTAGCAGTAATTGCCCAAAGAGAATATACAGAGGATGTTTGTCTTTACGTGTACAGTACTCGCATTGTTCAAAAAAATAATAGGCCATGTATCCCAGAGTCATGGTCCAAATTTAATAATTACTCGGAAATCGCCAAATTAGGTTAAACCACATAGTCACATCAACCCCGACGGTGAAACTACGGCAGACGATAATCGTCTGTAAAACACAGCACCTTCGAGATTGCATTTCGCTTTGGGGATGGCGTGAACACCAAACGTGCTAATGATTTGATTTGCCCACATGGGTGTGCACAAGCGCGGGAGCCGGTACCATGTTGAAGGCCTGCACGAGCTTCTTGAGACTCTCGGGCAGAGGGCTCGGGCTCTCCAGCGCCGGGTAGCCCTCGCGCTGCTGCAGTACCATGCACGCCGACGCGTCCGAGCTCAGCAGGCGCGCACACATTCCCAGCATGCACTGCTTTAGGCAGGCTGCGGGTGGCAGCCCGCAGACCTCCTTAAAGGACATCACCGCATTCTGCCAGCAAAAGAGAATTACAAATGAGCAAGCGTACGTGTGCACCCGAGTGTGCGAGTATACAAAGGTTTGTTTGAATTTATTTTTGCAAATTGAAATGGCTCCCTTTTTTTAAATAAAAAAAACAAACCTAAATTCTAGTTAGAAACAGTGTACATCTGTACTAGCTTTAGCGCATTGTTAGAATCCAACATACAATGCACAGCACGTACACATAACGGGTCCACAGCTGATTAGAAACTCAGTAGTAAGCGAATGTAAGCCATGAAAATTTCAATTGTACCCAACGGCTTCCGACGGGTGCCTGTGCAATTAGTGTGAAATATCAATATATTGGTCTCACCTGGTGATATTAAAGGACACAGGAAAAAAAAAAGTCACGCTTTTCCCCCCCAAGTCTAATTACCATCATTAGCACTGCTCTGCAACCCCTGCGGACTTCACAAAATGTGACGGCACAACAAGCCGCTGGAGCATTACAATTTACACATCGCTAACTGGAATGTGGCATGAAGAGCAATGGCTTTGGGGTCATTTTATTTATTTAGACAAAACCTCAGCGCAATTTAATCTTTCATCTCCAATCACATACATCAATTGACAAAGCCGCAAGATTACCTATTAAGATCGAACAACAGTTGCACCTAAAATTACAGTGACAGAAAAAAACGTCGTGTTTTTGTTGATCTTTTTATTTTATTTTCAGAAATACAATAACTCTTTCTGTGGAACACCATACGCAGAGGCGTTCAAACGCAGAAACTAATGTCTGCAAAGGTCATGCAATGCGCCTGACCTCCACCACATTGTATTACAGAGGATTCTTGGCCAATTCTAAAGAAAAAGAACACAATCAATCATGAATGGCTGAACAGAACATAAAAGAATATTACCCATGCGCTTTCAAATTTATAGATATCAAATCCATTAAAAATATATATTTTTCTGAATTTTTGTGAAATGCACAAACCATATGAACGAAGCTACACTCAGAAATATTACAGTTTGACTTGACAATATATTTAAATATATGATGCTATTTAACGGTCCGTAGGTTATCACAGATTTAAGTATCCAATTTCAGAAATACTATGCCATAAACTTTCAATTACACGCATGAGTTGGCAGCACCCTTCAGGTGTCCCGCAGAAACCAAACAACTTCTGCACTCGAATTTTATACACCGACTCGAACCCTACCGAAGGCACAATGCAGATCCATAGGCACGCAAAACGTCAATAAACAGACGTCAATACACACACACGTCCAGCTTAGTAAATAGCAATGGGTACACTGACACACGCAGTAAAATGCACCCCCCCCCCCCCCCAGCGACGTCCGGCCGATAAATAATACGGAGGACCTCGGCACAATTTAGCTCCGCATCTGTAGGAACAAAACAGAGAAGCGGGTGTCTGCGCATTTGTGAGATGTAGCGTTCCCACAGGAGCGTGGTGATGGCGGTGGTAGTACATTGCCGTCCGCGGTGCGCACTGCCGACCTCTCAAGGGCTCTGGCGCTGCGCTAAATGCGTGTCACCTGCAATTCCCCCCCACAGTTGTGTGGAGCGAGGCATCCTTAAGACCGCGCGTGCTGCACGACCGCGTGTGAATTAAGACAAAACAAAAATCACTCCTTGCCGTGTGACTAAACGGGGGAGGCAATGGAATTTTCATTTTGGCGATGCCAATTCGCAGCGAACGGGGCGAAAAATAAACAGCGAGTCATAATTACATTCAACGATCTGCGTTTTTCAGTGACACGTCAATAAATTCTGCTGAAAAACCAACAAAGCTATGCAAATCTGCAACCCTAATAATCATCAGCAACAACATCTGCACGCTCTCACGCACCGCCACGGGACTGCCCCCGTACCTGCACGCTCTCACGCAACGCCACGGGACTGCCCCCGTACCTGCATGTTCTCGCGCAGATCGGTGGCCTCGTGCAGGGGCTGCGCGGCCGTGCGGAACACCTCGTCCGGTGCGCGCACTCCCAGCAGCCTCATGGCGGCATACTCGCGCGTCTTCTTGCCCTTGCGGACAGAGAGGCCCCTCTTCTGCGCCTTGCCACCGCCCCTGCGGTTGGTGATGGCCACGTGCAGGAAGAGGTTGGCATGTTCGATGCACTCCCCCGTGAGCGCGTGCAGCGGCACGTGGCGGTAGCCCGGCTGCAGGCACTCGAACGGGATCGTGTACTGCCCGATGAACTCGTCCCCGATGTAGTCGTCGTCGAGCACGACGAAGCGCACGATGGCCAGCTCGGGGAGGTTCACCTGGAACACGAAGCTCTCGTCGAAGACGGGGCTGCCGCCGTTCTGACCGATCGTCTTGGTCCTCTGCTCGGCGCAGTCGGCTGGGATGCCGTGCACCTCGACGTACACGTACGGGTCCACCACGTCGCCCTTGGAGCCGGAGCCCCGTGGCTTGGGTAGGTGCTGCCCGCTGATCACCTTGATGTGCAGCAGCTGCGGGGAGATGCCGGGCAGCCCGTCGCGCACGTTGGCACTGAAGTACGACACCTCGTCCCGCATGACCGACGGGCGCAGGACGTAGCCGCAGCCGCCGTTTTGCCGGAACCAGCCCACATTGAGGTCCATCATGAGCCCCGGCGTCTGGTAGTTCATGCCCACCACTTGGCAACCACAGTTCCAGAAGTCCTGTGGGTTGAGATTGCTGGAATCGATGCGCATGGGGCTGGGGAAGATTCGAGAAAGGAATCTCTTATTGTGGTTGACAAAGTCCTCCGAGAACTCGTTGGAAAATCGGCTCGCCAGGGCCTCGGTGAACGAACACATCTCCCAGTACTTCTGGCACTGCTGCGATGAGTCAAAGTCCCGGAAACGCACAGATTTGCACAGGGTTATCAGGTCGGAGAGCTCGGGGCACAACTTTTGTTTCTTCACGTCGATTTCGTCTGGCTGTAAGAAAATGTCCTGGGACATCTCTGTCCTCTGCGCAATCTCCGAGGCTTCATCTTCATCTGTGACCTCTCCCTCTGGCCCCGGTTCCTCAAAAGGTAACTTTTTCCCTTTGAGGATTATCTTCAGTTTCAGAGACTCGGGCGAAGGCAGGTAGCTCTCATTGATGTCCACGGGCTTGATGTACAGCTTATCGCCCAAAACCTTCTTTATGTGCTGTACCAAAACCTTCTGTTGCATAATGCAATTGTGGTTCTCCAAGCAGATGATCAGCGGGTATTCGGAGGCCACAAAAGCGTACTTGTTAATGGCCTCCAGCGCGCTGTGAAAGGTGATGGGCAGGGTCATTGTATGGCCATTGTAGACGATGGGCTCGCCGTCCGGCCCGTCCCAAACGTCCATCTCCACGCAGCGGCAGCCCATCCGCAAGGCCCGCACGTAGCCGCTGACGTCGCAGGGGCCGCGGAACTGGTCCTCGATTAGGTACGTGTTGTGGGACGAGTTGATGTAGTAATGGGAGATTGGCTGGCTCATGTCCTGGCAAACCCTCCTGTGTGCCGGGTCAAAGAGGTCACATTCCGCAGAGATGAGGTACCCCGTGAAGCCGTCAATTCCTAAAAAGCCTCTTTCCTGCCCTTCGGTGGAGGGCTCGTACCGCCGGATAATGTCCAAACACATCTGCTCAGTAATATCAGTCATGCCCTGCTCTGCTTCCAAAAACATGGTTAGATCCCTGCTGTCCAGATACTCTTTACTGCTGGAAAACTGCACCAGCAGAAAATAGATCTCTGCCCGAGTGCACAACTCGTGGTACATGTCGACAAATTCGGGAAATGAGATGCCGTCTATTGGGGAGACCCTGCTCTTCTGCAGCTCTTTCAGCTTGAGTCTGATGGCGATGCCCTTCAGGGCCGGGTTCAAGCCCTGCAAAAGCTGGCAGGCCACCTCGGCGGGCAGGCAACCTTTGCCGCCGCCGTCCGCTCGCGTGAAGAGCGGCAGCAGCCAGCAGTGACGCAGCGAGTTGTGACTGCTCTCGAGCATGTCGAGCGAGTGCGAGCCGAAGGAAAGGAGGTACCGCAGCCCCGTGACCCAAGCGTTGGCGATATCCGGCGCGGACGCCACGAGGTCGAGCGACTCGTATCCCTCGCCGTAGATGATGGAGAATGCGCAGTCGGCCGAGATGTGCTCCGCGAAGCCGTGGTTGCGAAAGGTCTCCGTGTTTTTGCCAACGCGCACCTCCCTGATGGCGACAATCTCCAGACGGGCACGCTCCGAGTCCTTCTTGGACGGCTCCCAGCGAAGCCACTGCAGGTCGGACTCGAGCAGGAAATAGCGCTGGTAAACACGCGAGTTTGGCCGGATCTTGCGCAGCTCGCAGCCCTCGAGCATGAGGTTAATGCAGTCGCTGGCGCTGCTCACGCGCCGGTCGGTGGGCATGCTGCCAAAGGACACCGTCTTCTTTCGCTCGCGCTTCTGCCGGGTCGAGTCCTGCAATCGCACGGGGCAGGGTAACGGCGTGAGCAGATGCAAGGCCCCACGCGCTCCACAAATACACGCGCACAGGTCGGGCTACAAATGAAGAACGGTGAATTAAATGCCACGTGCTACCTGTACCCACACAAATGATAATAGAGCACATTAGGCATTTGCACCATTTTTATAGCACAAGACTATCACGAAGGTGCTACATTTCAAAGGAGGCACTGTCTGCCAGCCACAGTTCCAAACACAATAAAAAACCCAACTCTGACATGCCGTAGCAGCGAGACTATACGGTTTTGATTTGATGACTGGAGAAAAACCCGAGCAGTTATCAACACAAGTTTGTGGTAAATATGTGCATTCATAATTACACAATAATGCCCTAGTGTTCCTGCTACATCACCACCCGCCCCACCACACAGACTACACCAAGGATTTAATGAAATGTAGCTGGTAACAATGAGAATCATCGACAGAGCACCACAGCTGGGCAAAGTCACCGTTTAAATGTGGGTGCATCATCAACCATAAACCAGCACTAGTGTGGGCACATAGTTCACAGGTCAGGTCTCACACTGGTAATGCCAGTATCCAGTCTGGTCACTGAACAAATGGCCTCAGGGAAACACACGACATAAAAGAGACCTCATTATACACACCAATGCAGTACAAATGGGACTCTTTTTTTAGACCGTTTAAATCATTAACATTATTCCGTAATCAGCAGGTGTCTACTTAGGTCACAAACAACTGCTGTTTGAGAAAAAAAACCCACGTCCATGCCACTAAGCAAAACTAGTTGCAGTTATTTGAGTATAAAATGGAAGGACTGATTTTGAAATCAAAGTTACCAGCTAATGATTCATCTTTTCAGTTTTATTGGCATGCTGAGCTGATCTTTGAAAAAAAAGGACACGGAATGACTTGCTTGATACGTAACTACCAATTAAGGCAGACATTAAAGGCAACTGGCACACATTGGTTTACACCACATGAAGCGTCTCTCAAGTCGGTTTAAAGAAAAACATCTCAAAGTAACAGCCTGAATATGCTTAAGACTCTGTAAATATATATTTCACATAAGAGGCTATACGAGTGGCATGGAGAATGAGATCTGGTGGAAGGCCCTGAATAGGCCATGGGATACCAAAGCTGCACGGATTACATCCCAGAATGCTGTGAAATGCGATTCTAGCAGCAGGCACAACAGTGGTGTAATGCTCTCTGTAATGGCAGCTAATGGCAAATTTCCTCCCCAAAAATGTCAAGACATTAATTTTCCATTAAAGAAACACTAGGACCTCCCATTAACCTCGTAACTACTTGAACTTAACCTCTGCCTCTGGATAGGCATCATTATCTCTTGCCGGCAGACATCGTAATCATTCAGATCTTGTCCACCTGACGCAGTCACTATTAAATTCATCAAGACCATCAAGACATCAAGGATATAAAAAGATTTTAAAATGTACCCATCAAAATCCAGATGGACGATTTGATGTTATACCATGGGTCAACTAAAGCCCTGTCATTAGCATCCCAGAGACAAGTTACCAAGCAACTGCAGCTGCACCACCGTGGGTTTTTTTTTAGCCCTGTTGACCTAAAATTAGTTTAATATTGCAAGGGGCCTTATTATTCTACTTGCGTAAAAAAAAGAAGGCAATTACAGTGAGCGAAAAAAGTATTTGATCCCCTGCTGATTTTGTACGTTTGCCCACTGACAAAGAAATTATCAGTCTATAATTTTAATGGCAGGTTTATTTGAACAGTGAGAGACGGAATAACAACAAAAAAATCCAGAAAAACGCATGTCAAAAATTTTATAAATTGATTTGCATTTTAATGAGGGAAATAAGTATTTGACCCCTCTGCGAAACATGACTTAGTACTTGGTGGCAAAACCCTTGTTGGCAATCACAGAAGTCAGACGTTTCTTGTAGTTGGCCACCAGGTTTGCACACATCTCAGGAGGGATTTTGTCCCACTCCTCTTTGCAGATCTTCTCCAAGTCATTAAGGTTTCGAGGCTGACGTTTGGCAACTCGAACCTTCAGCTCCCTCCACCGATTTTCTATGGGATTAATGGTCTGGAGACTGGCTAGGCCACTCCAGGACCTTAATGTGCTTCTTCTTGAGCCACTCCTTTGTTGCCTTGGCCGTGTGTTTTGGGTCATTGTCATGCTGGAATACCATCCACGACCCATTTTCAATGACCTGGCTGAGGGAAGGAGGTTCTCGCCCAAAATCTGATGGTACATGGCCCCGTCCATCGTCCCTTTGATGCGGTGAAGTTGTCCTGTCCCCTTAGCAGAAAAACACCCCCAAAGCATAATGTTTCCACCTCCATGTTTGACGGTGGGGATGGTGTTCTTGGATCATAGGCAGCATTCGTCCTCCTCCAAACACGGCGAGTTGAGTTGATGCCAAAGAGCTCCATTTTGGTCTCATCTGACCACAACACTTTCACCCTGTTGTCCTCTGAATCATTCAGATGTTCATTGGCAAACTTCAGACGGGCATGTGTATGTGCTTTCTTAAGCAGGGGGACCTTGCGGGCGCTGCAGGATTTCAGTTCTTCACGGCGTAGTGTGTTACCAATTGTTTTCTTGGTGACTATGGTCCCAGCTGCCTTGAGATCATTGACAAGATCCTCCTGTGTAGTTCTGGGCTGATTCCTCACCGTTCTCATGATCATTACAACTCCACACTGTGAGATCTTCCATGGAGCCCCAGGCCGAGAGAGATTGACAGTTCTTTTGTGTTTCTTCCATTTGTGAATAATCACACCAACTGTTGTCACCTTCTCACCAAGCTGCTTGGCAATGGTCTTGTAGCCCATTCCAGCCTTGTATAGGTCTACAATCTTGTCCCTGACATCCTTGGAGAGCTCATTGGTCTTGGCCATGGTGGAGAGTTTGGAATCTGATTGATTGATTGCTTCTGTGGACAGGTGCCTTTTATACAGGTAACAAGCTGAGATTAGGAGCACTCCCTTTAAGAGTGTGCTCCTAATCTCAGCTCTTTACCTGTATATAAGACACCTGGGATCCAGAAATCTCTCTGATTGAGAGGGGGTCAAATACTTATTTCCCTCATTAAATTGCAAATCAATTTATAACATTTTTGACATGCGTTTTTCTGGATTCTTTTGTTGTTATTCTGTTTCTCACTGTTCAAATAAACCTACCATTAAAATTATAGATTGATCATTTCTTTGTCAGTGGGCAAACGTACAAAATCAGCAGGGGATCAAATACTTTTTTCCCTCACTGCATATCATGTACTTTTTTGTGCTGTTATCCTCTGGGATGGGTAGATATGTATTTTAATCATTAGCAGATAAGTAAGCCAACAATATGTCTTTCAGGCCCCTCCACTTAAAAAAAATAAACGTAATTTTCTTTCACACTTTTCACAAATAAGTGTAAAAAAAGAGTGTTCTTTTTACGTGGAGGGACAAAAAAGTGTGTGCTTATTTATTTTGTCATTTATATTCTCCACAACGACGCGAACGAGCGTCTCGTCGGCTATAGGCCATGTGGCACACACACAAACGCTGTCGACGAGAGGGTCCCCTCACCAAACCCAACAGTGGACTCAAGGCACCTCCCCCCTCCACACTGCAAACTGAGCAGCATGTTGCTGGCTCGTAAGACGAGAGCACGATCATAAATACAAAATATCTTTGAACCATAGGAAACTTTTAACTTATCAGCTCGAACCCCCACCCCCTTGGTAATGCATCGTGATGCAGAGTCTCATTTGCTTGCACCACCCTTCCTTTGCACGTTGCTCCGGCTATGGGGCACAGCTTTGTACAACTCAACCCCCTGGGGCTGCACTGGGCTATGCACACGTCAGGGTGCTCTGGCTGGATCCGTAATACGTGAAGATATTCGGTGTTATCGTGGACAGAGGTAATTCCCATTTAGTTCGTGTACACCACTGCACTGTTGCAAACGAGACTCACCCTGATCTCTTGAGTTCTCACCTGGTTAAACAACATAAACGTGAAGGGCACCAAGGCACACTATAAACAGTGAAAACGTTATGAGCAATTTGGCAACCTCACCAAAAGAACAAAGTTAAATAGCATCATGGTAATTATTTGTCATTTATGGTATGCTTGACAAGTATAAATTATGTTCCAATGCAGCAAGGTGCACCGTAAGACATCTAAAGTTGGAGGAACAGGAAACATTTAGAGACGCATACAAAGAGTGCAAAACAGTTCGATGCAAATACGGAGCCAGGGGAAAGAGGTGTGTGCACAAACCTCCTAAACCTGTCAAGGAAGAGGAGCGAGACGAGACGGCACAGTTGATGTTTGTGCGGAGCGTCGGGGACATCCAAGGCCACGCAAACGTTGGCCAAAGCGCACGTTTTCCCAAGAGTTCCGCCTTCGGACGTGTGCCAAATGTGATTACACACACGTACGGACAGTGCACTATGATAATCAAACCCGAGGGCTTCAGCGTAGGGAGCGTGCATTTGTATTCGTCGCGCGGAGAACGGAATCGATTGACGCTTTATTTCAAAACGGGCGACAATATGAAATACATCGCATGAAGTCGTTTGCCGAAAACTCATCACGTGGCACGTTTAAAAAAGTTCAGGCACTCTTCTAGAATGCTTAATTTGTTGCAGCTCCTTTCCATGATAATTGGCCGTCAGAACATGCCGTGGACAGGTTTCAGCGGACCGTGATAATGTCACATGCTGAGTAAACCCCCATGGCAAGGCAGACCTATGACTCGAGGCTCATTTGCAAACAGTTCCATTTTTCATTCAAGGCTTGTGCTTCAAGAAGTGGCTGGGGGTTTTTTTTGGATGCATTCTTCTGGAAGACAGAAAAAAACTAATTAATTTGACCTTGTAAAATAATTAGCATTTAGTTGCTTGCTATGACGATGCGGTTGATAAAAAAAAAATACGTCAGTGCCACGGGTGAAAATTAGCATGAAAATTGGAATCCGAGATCGGAAGTTGTTTGGATGTATTTTA